GAAAGCATTCGGGTTTTTTGCACGTAACCTCTCGCCTTTGAAAAAAGACTTGTTAGGTTGGATGGCTGCTCTACCATTTCAAATGCTTTTGGAAATGATTGGGCAAACTTGCTGAAAAAAAGCTGTTATCGGTGGGAAAAACTGGTCTCTGACAAATCTCTTTTATCAAACAAGGTAAGTGGATTTTATGATCATGAGGTGTGATGGATTACTGGAATAAAATAATCAAGGAGTCCATCCTGAACATGTTAGGTCAGTTACATTGTTTAATTTAAAATGATTGAACTCATTTGATTATATAGCTTTTAAAATATGAGAACTAAAATTGGAATGGAGGAAATTGTTTCTGTTCAGCTCAATAGTTACAAACTTGTAAAGGGTAAAAAAGTTTGAAGCTAATTTGGTGGCCTTTAATAAACAGGAACTGTTTCTCTTTTTTATGACTCACTTCCAGAAACTTATTAAAGCTTTTTCTAATGCTGAACCAAACTATTACATCTTAATTCAAGCTCTGAAAGTTATAGGATCACAGAAAAGCTTATCATAAGTTATTAATATCCAGTATTTGCTTAGGATGGAAGAATTCAGGTTCAAAGCTATGTTAGATCAGGTCTTAATGATTTATTTGTGATAATGCTTATTTGTTCTTTTGAACTTTTTAAATACAGTATTTCCTAAGAAGTTTCTTCTTATTAGTTAATAGCACCCAATTGCAGACAGGCACCTGTACTATTTCTGTATCAATATATTTCGTTAAAAAGAAATTGTGTGACCATCTCCCCGCCCACCAAGCTCAGAGAAATGGAAGTAAATAGTAAAAATTTAAAAGTTAAATAAAGTTATGACTTCTAGATACCCCATTTTGATACAATAGACTGTGATGGTTGATTAATAGGCACATGAACAAATATGTTTGCTTTATTGCTCTTATGTCTATTGCTGAATGCATTCATTTCAAATTAATCTATCTGCAATAATCAATGCAACTGATGCATTTTCTGTACTAGCAATTATTAATGCAAATTAGAATGTCTGTACTTACCTATAAACATGCTGGAATCAGATACTTTTCTTTAGCATCTACTAAGGTAAGTTAGAATTTCAAATGGTTATCAATGTCAAGTGAACTTTAGCTAGGGTTGTCAGGTCTGCTTCCAAAAAATAGCGGACAAGCGGGGGGGGGTAAGTAGTAAAAAAAGTAGACTGTACAGCTTTAGATTACGTACCATTTCATCATAAAGCTTTTGAATAAAAAAAATGTCCACTATTTTGTGAAAAAAAATAGTGAACATAATGTGAAAAAAGCGGACTGTCCACTCAAATAGTGGACAGCTGGCAACCCTAACTTTAGCATGGACAATTATAGGTGAGTTTTATCAAGTTATATGTTGCGCACAGATATCTAATACTGTAAATTTGTAAAGAAATTGTGACAAATTCAGATAAGTATAATTGGATGCTTGTAGCTAGATAACACTGTAGCATCTTAGTTTTCTTGGTCTTTTTATGGTTCCATAACCAATTTTAACATTAATTTCAAGATGATGAAGTGAAGTGAAGCATGCTGGCTGCGGAATTCTGAGAGTTGAAGTCCATACAACTTCAAGTTGCTAGGGTTGACAAGCAGTGTGCTAGACTATAAAATAGAGAAAACCAGAAAGAATCCAAAGGGACCATACTAGAATATACTAGAAGCTGTTGCTCCCAAAGGATGGCATTTTGTACCCAATACTACGTCACCATTTCCTCCTCAAAACTCACCTGGAAACATCTGTCAAGCTCCAGTAAAGAGAGAGCTGAATTTTTAAGTAAAAAATCAATGTGAAGTAAAAAGAGGAAAGATAACTAGGAAATGCCCTTCTTTAAAGATTCATCATAGTAACTGATGAATTAATGTGGGCTCTTAAATAAAACAGAAAAACTTTAGATCAGCAGCAGGTGACATCAGTCCTTTTTAAAACACATTAATACCAATATATACAGTAGCTATTAAAAGCAACCAATTTATCTCCGCTGTTCTGTATGTCTGCAACGCCTTCAACGCCTACGGAATCAAATGGTGCGCAGATTTAACACGTTGGTAGTAAAGGCTGGGCAGCACCACACCTTCCAAAGCGACCCCTTCAGAAAGATGCGGGGCAGAGGAGCATCCTCCGGGCAGCCTCTTCCTCTTGTGACATCTGGAATCGGCAAAATCAGGAAAGCAGGAAGCAAGTCTCAAGGTTGTTTTTTTTTTCTTTTTAAAAATGCAGATTTTTAAACGAGCATATCTCGTCAGGATCACACAAAAGGTTAGCTGGAACACTTTTAACAAAAGTAAAAAAAGATCTCTATGTCATTAAGGATCGAACCGGATGCATTGTGGAAATAGAAATCTGCAGGCTAGTTGGCTGGAGGGAAAGACGCGTTTCGCCTGAAGAAATAGACGTGCAGACGGTTTTCAAGATCTTGTAGTTTTCGTTTTAGGATTCTGCTTGGCCAGGAGTTGTGATAACTAGAAGTTGCATACTTCGGAAAAGAGGAAATCGGCATTAGAGAAAGAATGTTTGTTTGTTTTTTTAACCATGTCTATGCCTCTCAACAAAACCTTCTGAACCTTCCCTGTATCTTTCTAGGTTTCCGGAAATGGATCCCTTTTTGGATTTGCTGAATTCATTTTCAAGGGCCTTGTCGCCTGCGGAGCTTGAAGATCTTAAATTTCTTTGCCACAGCCACATTGGTAAAAAAAAACTTCAGGGTGTGAGCCGTGGCAATGAGCTCTTTGCGATTCTCCTGGAACAGGAAAAAATTGCCTCCAACGATGTAGAGTTTTTGAGACAGCTGCTCAAAACCCTGAAAAGAGAAGATCTACTAACCCAACTGGAGCAGTATGTCAAAACAGAAGATGGTGATCCAGGTTGTCAACCAGATGATGAACAGAAATGTAGGTTGCTCTTTTTTCTTTTTGATCTGAAAAAAAAAAGGTCCTTTTGGTCCTTGAGGGGCAGGACAGCAATCCTCCACACACTAGTTTACAATGCATCCCACTGGTTATGAGGGGATTTACTTTTTGGTAAATATTCAGGCCATTAAGGTTAATCTCTAGGTGCTATAAGACACTTTGGGGTTATTTTTGTGAAATAATTTGAGTTATAGGAATATTCCGTGGAAGTCCAAGGTGACTTGTTCAAAAGGCAAGTTGCTTCTATCCAGGCAAGCTGCTCCAGATTAACTGTTGGTTCTTGGCATCTCATCCCACCTTCCTTTGCCCAGAGATCTTTTGCCCCTCAGATAACTGCAGGAGAGAAGAGAGACATATGAGAAAGAAGATTATTAAGTAACTGCAGCCCTTGCATCTTGCCCAGTCCTATCCAGGAGGTTTATATAAAAAAAAATGTAACTGGAAACTCTGGGAGCAGTAGCTTTCAGCTTTCGGAGGGAGCAACTACCGGTATATGGGCATTCCTTGACTTAATGCAGGCCATGTAGCGACCATTGATGGATCTTCCTGGGGGCACTTATGACTCGAGTTAGAACTTCTGATGGTCACTGACCCCCTGCAGTCATGTGATCACACCAGGTGCTCATCAACCAGGCTGCATTGTCCCATGGTCATATTATCACATTTTACGACAGTTTTACTGAAAAACGGCATTGCTTTCCTTAACAGCTGGAGCATTTGCTTAATAATTGCCACAGAAAAGGTCAAAAAATCAGATCAATCACATGGGTGACCCAACTTACGACTGACATTAATTTTGACTAGTCATAACTCAACGACCATCTGTAATAAATTTAAAATTATTATTAATCTGTGGTAGTTCTTTAATGTATCTCACTTTATTTAATTTGGACTAATCTCCCAGGAGAGTGCCAAGTCAGGAAAGATAATTGAAGGGTGTTGATCAAGAACAAAATTTCTGAGATTTCCAGAAAGCTTGTAGAAGAGGACATGATTAGCCCCATATTAACGTTTCTGATATCCACGCCCCACCCAAGGGAGCCAGTTTTGTCTTAGGACACTTATATGGTGATGTGGCCATCATGACTATAGCCAGAGGTACACAGAATGCTGTTACCAAAGTGGTACCTATTTATCTACTTGCATTTGCATGGTTTTGAACTGCAAGGTGGGCAGGAACTGGTGCAAGTAATTTGGTTTATAGCTATTGATATTTACTATATTAGAAATTAAAACTGACAACTTTAAAAATACGTATTTATTTGACTTCACAGACCCCCTGAAAAGGTGTTGGAGACTCCTAGGGATCCCCAGAACACACTTTAAGAACTGCTGTCTTAGAATATGACACTGAGACTGTCAAAAATTAAGCAGAATTTATATATCATACTTCATTTGGATGGTAATGGGTAGAATGGACCTTATTCCAATCTGAGTAAATATTGAAGCCTAAGCAGCAAGAGTTTCAGAGAAAGACAAGGAAGGGATAAAACTGATGCATAATAGTTCATGCATAGGTGTCCCACAGCAATTTATCAGTTTGATTTGCATTATGCTTTTCTTTGTAGATAAACTGAAAAGAGCTTTTGAAATCATATGTGAAAATGTTGGAAGGAACTGGAAAATGCTCGCTCGAAAACTTGGAATTTCAGATGCCAAGATGGATAAGATTATGGCTGCTAATCCCTACAATTTGGAAGAACAATTAATGCAATCACTTGTAGAATGGCAAAAATTAAAAGGAAAGGATGCGAAGGTGGAGGATATAATAATGGCTCTCAGGGACTGTCGAATGAATCTAGCAGCAGATTATGTTGAAGAAGCTGTGAAAGAAACTGAAACTCAGTAGGATCAGTCAGAAGAGACTCTGCTGGCATTGAATTAAACATTCACAAGAGAAGACTAGGGGTGCCACATCTGGGCTGCAGAAATGAATGATCATTAGATGGCAGCAAAGTGACACAGAAAATGTTTTGACATTTTGCTTTTACATAATAGTTTACAAAATTTTTGTAGCCAAATTTGCAAAGTTCTGCTTCAATTAAAAGATTTTCCTAATTTTGCTTGCCTTTATATTTGCTGTTTCTATATAGACATAGACAGTTTATTCATGAACCTATTAAGATGAACACAAGGAATGTGCCTGTATCTGATAACCCTATCCATGGATACTGATGTAGCCATGGGCTGTATTTTCCAGTAACTCGGCATACAATAGCCTGTTATCAGCTTAAATTTCAATTGTGAAAAGTAATAAAAAGAAACAATACTGACTCCTTTCAAACTACAGTAGCATATGCTAATAGTTAACAGTGGGACATGGTCTTAAGCTGTTTCCTCATGAAAACATGAGTCACTTAGGTGAGGGACAGTGTAGAAATGTGTTGAATCAATACAAATAAACCTAGAAAGCAACTTTGCTCCACTAAATTGATGTACCAGACTTTGCATAATCTCAAATTGAATAGAGTTGGGGCCTCCGAGTACAATGAAATGGGTACAAATTTTGAAGTGGTTGTGTTATTCCTTTATTTATTTATTTATTA